TTCAGGGCTACATGTAATTTATCTGATTTAGTCAAATTAAGTCCTGAATGTCCCTTCAGATGTGGTTGTTTTTCAGGTGATAGAGCTTAAACACCATGTACACTTTTCCTATCTCCGTCAGGTAAACATCACACGTTGCAAACTTGCACAATATAGAAAAAATGCACTTTTTTTGGTATTTTGTGCACCATTTTACTTCACTTTGGTCTCTCCTGTGGAGCATCAGAATTTCCAACGCTCAATGAAGGCAGCAGCTGAGCTCATCTGTTTGCTGCAGATAAAACAATTGAAACAAAAACACGCCTTCTGCTTCCAATATTCACTTTATCAAGTAAATTCGACTTGTTGCGTCTCATGAACGTCTCAGTTTTGAAGACGGTGAACAAAGCTGATGTGGAAGAAGCACAAGTTAGAGTCTCAAATGTTGACAAACTGCTCAACATATGTGACTTTTACTGCATGTTGACACTTGCTGCAGTTGCTTACAGTTGGATTTGTGATAATAGCTTCATTTTAAAGTGATTTCAGAGTAATATTGGTAGAAACTCTGACACACGGGCCTCGCTGCTGACTCTGTTTCTGACAAAAAAAACACAGAAAAGTCTCTCAACAGCCAAAAGGTCTTATCACGCTGCAGCAAAAAAAAAACCTAAAATCTGATTTCATTGCGTCTCTGCTTCCTGTTTTTATGTTTTGCCAGCTAGTTTAATGATTAAGTTCTATGTGAGGAAGCATCTACACACACTGCTGCAGAAAAACACCTCATGTGACGGATAAATGTTCTGACTTTAGTGAATGATCTGACTTTTACAGACAGTAAAAAAGTTTTATTTTTAAAAATCAACCATATTATATTATGTTTGAGGGCTTTAACACATGAGCAGAGTGAATAGATCCAGGGCTGTTCCTTAAAAATGACTTTAAAAATGAGATCCACAGAAAAAATCTCTAATTTTCTGTTTTTTGTTTTTTTTTTTCCTTTTCATGTTACAGATAAATTTACACCAACTAATCATACAACTGAGCAAAAAAGGTTTTTTAATTGATTTTGTTTAACATAGAAATTCAACATGTATTTGTAAGTGTGTCATAATTTGATCAGTGTATGTAATTTCCCTTTTGTTCATTAAATCAAACTGTTTGTGTTTGCATTTTACATGTATTTCTAACATTAGATACAATTTGTGAGAATTAAGTGAAAAAGAAACAGCTGGTTCTGTAACTTTACATTAACTTATTGTTAAATGACAGATATATTGTATAATTACAGATGGTTTCACAACAACAATACTGAATTAATGTGTGTTTTTTTGTCATGTTGCACATCATTTTTATCTCTATCTGTTATCATTGGTATTATTATAGGTAATTTCATTGTCACACGTGTAAATATCCTTCATTAAACATAAAAATAAAATAACATCTACATGAGCTCGTGTAAAATTAAGGCTACAAAATGTTTTCAAAATAGAAAAAAATGATATATTTCTAATTTATGGTTATTTTATAGTATTTTTTAGAGTCCTATCTATCTAATCATATATATATAATTATTTTATTATTGGTGTTTTTTGTAGATTTCATCAATTTGACAATAAAACGCAAAAACAGACAAACAAAAAGCATGATGTCATGTAAAAGTAAGTGTAGAAAGTGTTCTAATCATAGAAGTTGCTTATTTGAGAATACAACTATATGTTTTATGAGATGGTTTATTCTTTTTATCATTAATTTATATTTTATTTTTGTGCAACGAGGCTGAAATAGTTTTTTAGCAGTTCTATTTAATTTCATATGTAGTATATTTTTGGTAATTTTTAAAAAATGTTTTCAAGTGTATATATAATTAATTTGACAATAAAACACAAAAACAAACAAATAAAAGCACGATGTCATGTAAAAGTGAATGTAGAAAGCTTATTTTAATCATGGAAATTAAGTAATTAGAATAAAACTGTATTTTTCTGAGATGTTTTGCTCTTATTTTACAGTGTTTTTCCTTCACACCTGCTGTAGTTTTTTTTACAGTGCAGTTTCGGGCTGGACTCGATTTTATTGATCAGGAAGTGATGACGGCCGATACCACAGAACCTTTATCACTTCATATTATAATAATTAAGTCATGTCGCCTCATGATGGACGTCAATAAGATTTTTGAAGCGTCGACACACATTAATTTGTGTGTTTTGTGTAAATAAAGAGCGAAGTTAATGAGTTTTTGTTTGTTTTGTTTTCACTGCAACAGGTGGATGGAGGTGCGTTCACTGAACAAGCAGAAATCGGGAATTTTTACCACTCTTACGTGAATGGGAAATTTTCTCGGATAATAATGTTGGAAAATAACTGTGTGGAAATAAAAGCGTCTAAGGAGTGAGATCCGTTGAGTTGTTTGTTGGTTTTGAAGCCCCTTAGTGTCGTTTTAACGCTGGTTTCCTCGTGTGTCGTCTGCTTTCCGAGCGCCTGAACGCCTCGCAGACTCCGCCCCTCTCGCCGGACTTTTAGAGCCTCCGGGCGTCAACGGCAAAGTTCAAACTGCGAGTCCCGCATCCAGGCACCGGACCTCCGAGGAGCCTCTCTCCGCTCTGCTGCCGTCACTAGTCGCTCGTTTCAGGGATGTCTCCGTCCGCGTCGCCCCGGTTCTTCTCGGAGCGGGAGGTGGCCCGACACCGCACCGCGGACTCGTGCTGGGTGCTGCTGGGGACGCGGGTCTACGACGTGACCGCCTTCCTGCGGATGCACCCGGGCGGCGAGGCGCTCATACGCAGCCGCTCCGGCAAGGACGTGAGCCAGGAGATGGAGGGACCCCCGCACCGGCACTCGGAGAACGCCCGGCGGTGGATGGAGCAGTACTACATCGGGGAGCTGGACAGAGACGGCGGCGCCCAGGAGGCTCAGGTAGCCTGGGGGGGAGGGAGACACACCTGGCGGGGTGGGTCGGGGTCCGCCCCGGTGGCTGCACCTGCCCCGAGGCTCAGAGCTGCTGTAGTCCGTAAACTTTCCTCTGATCTATGATCCACCAGCTGAGAGGCAGAAATAAGGAGACCAGAGCTGATCTCCAGGAGTCAGTCTGATCAGATGACTTCAATGTTGGACACTTGGTGGAGGTTTCATTTCAATATTGGAGGGAATAAATGATTTTATTCATATTAAAAGTAATTTCTCATAAGTAAAAGTGCGAAAACAAATTTGATTTAATTACATTTTTTGGCACTTCCACCAGTTTTATAACTAAATCCACTGAATGTAAACATATGTGGGTTGTTTCAACTCAGTTTTGGACTTTTTCCAGATTTTGTTTGTGGCATGTAGACAACAACAGACCAGTTTTATATCTAAAACCACTACATACTGATGGTGAATCGCTTTAACATTTAAAATACTTCCAAAAAAGCAACAGAAAAAAGGATTTCACTACTTTTTTTTTTGCATTTCGAGCACATTAGACATGTGAACCCACTGTATACAGACTGTAAAATCTGGACTAGCATGTCCTACAGAGGCTTTATGATCTTTAAATTGTCGTCTCTGACTTGGAAAAGTGCAACGACATGATGATTTTTTTGACATCTAGACCACATTAGACCAGTTTTATATACAGAACCACTACATACAGATGGTGAAACACTTGTGAAAGCTTTTATATATTTGCCAAAAAGCAAAAAAAAAGTTGCGATTTCACTATTTTTGGCATGTAGACCACATTAGACCAGGTCCAGATGTGAACCCACTGTTCATAGATTGTTAAAATCTCAACTCTTGTGTCCTACAGAGGCTTAAAGTCTTTAAAACACAGTGATTTGTTCATAAAAGTGCAGAAAATGAAGATTCCATGACTTTATTTTGCATGTGGACCACTTTGGACCAGCTTCCTATCTGCTACCACTACACACAGATGGTTAAACACAGTCTCTGACGTGTGAAGCTTTTATATATTTGTGAAAAAGTAAAAACACTGCTTTATTTGGCATGTAGACCCTCTTAGACCAGGTCTAGCTCTAAATCCATAACCTATCAACTGGGCAAACTGGGACGAGGTCGTCCTACGGAGGCTAAAGAGTCAATAAAACACCATAAAACTGAGTGTATGAGTTGTGAAAGCATTTGTGGAAGTGCAAAAACAGACATATTTCACTGCTTTTTGTTGCATGTAGACCACATCAGACCAGGTCCAGATGAGTAGTGGACAGTGGTTTTACATCTGGACCTGGTCTGATGTGGTCTACATACAATGAATTCTCATCTTTTTGCACTTTTGCAAATAAGAGACTGTGTTTTAAGCCCCTTGTAGCCTCTGTGTGCCGGTCTAGTCCAGATGTGACCAGTTTGTAAACAGTGGTTTTACATCTGGATCTGGTCTAACGTGGTCTAAAAGCAATTAAGTCCAGGTAAATTTCCCTTTTTTAGCTTTTTCTAAATAAAATAAAGCTTCCACAAATGTGAAAGTGGGTTTCAGACAACATTTGACACAGTTTTACGTCATTAAAATGTCAATCAGGTTTCCCTTAACTTTCCCCTTAACTGCTGGATTATAAACTGACTCAGCCTCGTATCAGTTCGTAACTTTTCTACGTCGATTTCACAACAGATTCAGTGTTTGTTTGAGCTCATAATTCATGTTTTGAGAGTAAAAACTGAGGCAGTGCTGCAGAAAAGCTGTGAGGCATCAGGCTGCAGGAACTTGCTGGTTGTCTTTGGGCTGATTTGAACCTTTCTGCTTTTTTATTACTGTTTTTGAGGAGAAAGAAGTTCATCCTCTCTTCAGGGTAGTTTCTTCTGAGCAGCTTTTAGAAACTGTTGTGTGAATGCCGAACTGACACGATGATCTTTAAGTCGTCAGCTGTTAAATGAATCGCTGCAGCTCCTTAAACTCGAGTATTTTCTGCTTTCTTTACGCCTCTATGACCATAAACTAAATTATCGAACAAGAAATACCAAAAATTTTCATCTAGCTAAATTAAAAGTCTTGTTTTGTTTGACCAAAAGTCCAAAACCTCCCAAAATATTAAATTTAAAATGATTATGGGACAAAGAAAACAAGCAACTCAGCAAAAATCTGCAATTTTTCCAACAATTTTGCCTGAAAAATGACCAAAACTATCAATTGAACCGAATTAATAATCAAACTGAGCACTCGTTTCAGCTGAAATACGTGTGCGAGTCCTTTATATCACCACAGACGGGCTCTAAATCTGGTATTCAGGGTGGAGCTGCAGTCATTGATCAGTTGACATGTGATAATCTGCGGCTATTTTGGTAATTTTTAAGGAAAAAGAAGCCAAATTTCTCTGATTCCAGCTTTTTAAATGTGATTTTTTTTCTGGTTTCATCTCTCTTCTGTGACAGTAAACGGAATATTTTGTGTTGTGGACAAAACAAGACGAACGTTTCTGACATTTTGTCGATTAAAACAAGTAATTGATGAATCAAGAATGAAATGATTTAAGACAGAGTTGATTTGTTAAACCCTTAGAGGACAAAAAGCGATCGTCTCCTCCTCTCTAATGTCGGCAGCTTCAGCGTACAATCCAGCATCCAGGATAAAATAAAAAGCTCTGAACAAACTGGAACTATGACCAATAAGTGCGATTTGTTGCACTCTGAGTGAACGTCACGTCGAAGCTGCACCGAAATGGAAAGTTGTTGTTGTTTACTTGTTTGTGATAAGCTGTTATTGATCCCACAGTGGGGAGCTTTGCTTTGTTACAGCAGCAAAGAGGAGAGAACATGAATAAACCAAATATACACACAGTTCAGATTGTCCAAGTTGCTTTGGATGTGGAAATGATGATGTTGCATGTTTTTTTTCATGTTCATGTGCTCTGATATCACATATAGAAGAACTGTCAGGGCATTAATGCAATCAGACGACTGGTTTTTATTTTAAAAAGTACAGCAAGAAATGTTCAAATGTAAAAATGTAGTAAAAAAATATTATGTGCAAGTCTAAAACTGATGAAAACAGTGAGATTGGAGCTGATTTGGTGCATTAAAACATTATAAAAAGAGTAGTTTAGCTGATATGACTGAACATTTAGGAATATATAGTGATTTATAGTTGTGCAAAATGTGCAGTGTCGTCGTATTTACACGTGTGCAGCTTCAGTTTGTTAGAAAAAGGTGCAAAAACATGCGGATTTTTCCAGATTCTGTTAAATCTAACGGAGAGTAAACTGCTCCTGAAACCTCCTGAAATCTGT